TATGTTTATGAGTTGAGTTTATTATACCTTGCTTAAACAAGATATTGTTTAGATAAATTGCCATAACTGATATCTTTTGGGTAAGAAGCAACATTATCTTCCATCAAGACAACGTACACAATTTAGCTTGTTTTTATTTTTAAAATTATCTTGCTTTTGGTTGTAAAATTTGGCTACTACTCTTTCTTTATGTGGAGTTTTAAAGCATTTTATAATACACTGGTTATCTTAATTAGCTTTATTAGAATATAAACCTAGTGGCCTTAATGAAAAATATAATAATTCAGAGAGATGCAAATCTAATAGGACAGATATTAATTTAACTGTAGCGAAATGTCTGGATAATAATTATTAATAGAACATTTTTCGATAAAATTATTTTTATAACTTCTGACATGCGGCGTTGTGTAGCATAAAGTCATTTTGTTAATACTATTAGCTGTACGGCTCTGTAAAGCTGTTATGTTGGCCTCTCTATACAAATAAAGAGAATTTTGGAAAAATATAAACTTCCAAAAACATCGTTCATGTACTACATTAAACCTATAATGACCTTCAGGGCAAGTGTGAATTCTTTGATCATTATTTGTCAAATGTTTTGAAGGATAAAGTTTGTTTGTTTGTAGTTAAGCACAAAGCTATACGATGGACTATCTGTGTTGTGCCCACCACGTGTATCGAAACCCGATTTTTTAGTGTTATAAGTCCGCAAACATATCGCTAAGCCACTAGGGGACGTAGGATAAATAACCTATGTATACAAACATTTCGAAGATATTTAAAGCTTTAAGGGAAAATCATCCATTGGTTTTGATGGCTAAATGTTTCGAAAAACAATGAGTCGTCTTTTGAAAATATTTTAAAAGGTAATGAGTCCTCATATGCAAAGGTTTTTAAGGGTAAATACTTAGTATATATGAATGTTTGGACGCCATAGAGTCATCATATACAAGAATTTTGAAGGGCAATATTATTATGTTGGTCACGAAGGATATTCTAATATGTGAATGAATGACAGTCGAATTTTTTGAACTTGTCACTCAGTTGCGTATGAAACTTTGATGTCTTAGCTATTTCATATTTATATACAGTTGTTACTTATGCACATCTGATGACTTTCTATTTTCAACCTGTAACCATCAAAAGTCTTACATTGCAAATAATAATAATATAATGTTAACAACAACAAAAAAGAAAAACTCTGGTATACCCATCCCTAAAACGTAGACAGGTATTTTTTATTTTTTTTGTAGAAATAAGCGCAAGTTTTTGTATGTGGAAAAATGTCCTAGAGTTTCTTAATGCTCAAAAATTCTGAAGTCAGAAGTTTCAAATCTCATTTAAAAACTTTTGTACAGTAGTTTTTTTTTAAATACGTGAACTTACTTACATACTTCGTTAGAAACATAAGAATCCACCGGTGGGACAGCGGTAAGTCTACAAACTTACAACTCTAAAATCCGGGATTCGGAGGACACAGCAGATAGCCCAATGCGGCTTTGTTCTAATAAAAATAAATAAATATGAGAATAAGGTTTTAAAAACAGTAGAAGGAACAAGACACACCTCACAGTTTCAGCCAAATAGACCTCCATCAGTTGTTCATTGTTAAATACTATATATATATATTAATGAACATTCAGACCTTTCAGTCGTGCAATATCAATATTTTATATAAAACTAGTTGGCTCAGAACATTGTTATGAATTAAGTAATTTCCTTACAATTTTATAGCCTGATTATTTCATATTATCCACCACCACCTCCAGTGGCACAGCGGTATGTCTGCGGACTTATACTTATCGAATCCGGATTTCGATACCCGTGGTGAGCAGAGCACAAATAGCCCATTGTGTAGCTTTGTGTTTAATTACAAACAAACAAACAGAGAATGAATGATCACTAGTAGTTTGAACAAGTACAGAAGAAGTCTCGATATTGAAGAAACTAGTTTTAACACTTTCGTGTGTCCTCTTCAGTCTCACTATTGTCTTCTAAAGACAATGAGACTGAATATTACAATATTTTCAATAGTCCGAACGCACAGAAATCAATAACTGCTGCTTCTGGTGACTTGACAACTATTTTCTTCTTATGAATAGCATGAAGACTCATTTCATTCTCCAGCTGATTGAGATATACGCTGCTGCTTCTGGTGACTTGACAACTATTTTCTTCTTATGAATAGCATGAAGACTCATTTCATTCTCCAGCTGATTGAGATATACGACAGTTGAGTTGATATGTCTTGGAAGCAGTTTTATACCTTTTATACAACGACGCACTTTCCTTATAACAGTTTAAGGACGACTTGTTAAAGGTCTTTTTCTGGATAATCCTGCTGCTCCAAGTCGATTCATACTCCTTTGTTTTCCAATGTCATTAAGTATAAGGGATAATCTAGTCTTGGAGAAGCTAAATAACCGATCTAAGCATATCTTTAAGATCTGAGTGTATGAATATTTTGAATTGAAAAGTGCTGCTACATACCTTTCCCCAAACGACTAATTTTTGGTGGCATTACACAACCTACGATAAGCCAAACAGTGTCACAATGTACTTCTGACACATTCCGTTCCACCACGACTTCATATCGACTGTGTTTGCCACGTTGATTTGCTAATTTGCATATTCAAATATTTTTAATTCAATGTACTCAATTATGTATTAGTAATCGGGTTTTCTACCTCTTTCAACTGTGTAACTTGTTAAAAAATACAATCGCTCGTTTTGAAAACAAGCAAACAAGTAATGGGTGTTACCCTCTCTGGTAATTTCACATTGCAACATTTCTTGTGAGTCACAAGCGTTTTTGTTCTGACAAAATGTTTTGTTCAATTCCTGTTTGAAAAATTAATGTAGTTGCGCTATTTCATCTGTAGTTAAACACTGAAATTCCTACTGAATTGAAAATTAGTCAACGTTTTGGAGTAGATGTCTTCATTTCTTTGTATATTTTTTCTTATACGATCTTTACAAAAAAGGACTTATGACTCATAATAAAACTTTTAATGGTATTTTTATCTTATGAATCCAATATCTTATGCTCGAAGTAACTAGGCTCATCAAATGAAAACAAATACCTTTCGATAAATTACGCTAGATAGGAAGTTGGTGTAAAGTAACGTAAAAAAAAACCTTTACCGATACTGTATAGTGTAGAGTGACCCAGCAAGGTACAAACAACTCAGTCAGGTGGTTTGGAGTGAGCAAAATTTATTGATGTAAACGAAACTTTGGAGTTTGTGAAGAGGGGGGGGGGGTTCATGGTAGTGACAGACAAAAATTTCCATAACCCCAGGCTAGTACGTAGAAATATATAGACTGTTAGCAGTTTTGTAATAATCTATATCACATATATCTAAACAGTTTCCAGAGTTTATGAGAAGTGACTGTTTGCGGAATCTTCTTTAACATTCGTGTTCCCTGAGGCACAAAGTACATAAAAATCTTTATGCAAACTACTCATGAATCTTTGTTAAAGTGGGTAAGAAATGATGTTTCATTTTCGTTCATTGTTCAGTAGTGTAAAAGATAGTTCTCAAACGTTGTCGTGGGCATGTACAAACAGTCAGTTTTTTCTGCACTTATTCACCTTACGTTGATGTAGGAATCTAAAAACGGCTCAATTTTCCTTTCTGGAATTCATTTTACCATTTCAAAAGACCGCTGAGACGTTGTTGTTGGCAAATAAAAACGGTT